ACACTAGAGAGAGAGAGAGAGAGAGAGTATAGAAGTTGATGGAATGTGGAGAGGGCGACTGTAAATTAATAGTGAGAGGTAAGGTGGTGGGTTGACGTTATTTATTGTTCTTTCAGCGTGGCAGAATGCGCGTCATAATGAGATGGTAGTTGGACATTTAGCTAACGCGGGTGCATATATGTGTGGTATGCTACCGCGGAAGCAAATTGTCCTTCGCCAAATTCTTTTAGAAGAGTTTTTAAATTAAGACGTCAACCTTATCTATGGAGACGGATTTTATGCGGCGAAATTAGATTACGAAAGTAAGTTGCATATTAAAAACTTACCATATTAGAAAATCCTCCAATTGATCAATTCAATCTCCAACTAATGGAAATGAAAAAATGATTTTAAATTCCGAGAAAGTATTTCGACTGCCCATTTTTAACATTATTTGGTCTCAACAGTCAATTTCACGATTACACTTGAAAATAGATTTTCGGACTTAGTAGGGTTTTCAAGGTGCATCTTTTTTAAATGGGTAGCATATTAAATAGTTAACTCTACAACATTTTGATAAACTTCTCTAGAAATAATAAAATCTTGCATCGATAAAATAGATAAATTAGCTTTTGTTTTCCGTTTGAGTTTATGCATTTACGAATCTCTATCCACACTATTTTATAAGTTTAAAATTTTATAATTGAAAATAAAAAAAAATTTTAAACCATCACAAAGATTTTCAATATCGAAACAAGAGCAATGATCCGATACAACAGTTGTATCATAATATAATACAACGACACTTCTAGAAAACCATGCTTGTGCTATTTGTATGACTCTCTTCATCTCAATAATCAATCCCCCCCAAAAAAAATTTCAATTTGAATCCTAGATATGGTTAAAATGAGTCCCCTCCAAAATCGAATCTAGACCATTCATTTCATGAATTTCAAGATCTTAGCCTTTATAAATTCAAAATCATTCTTTTTTCTTTTTTAACATTTTTCATCTAATGATAATAAAGCCATCCAAAAAATAAAAAATAAAAAAAAATCCTTTTAAGGCCTAGATCTAAGTATCTCACCAAAATGAACGGCCTATGTTAATTGGGCTAAAAATATACTTTCTTGATTGTGTTTTCATTGTTTTCTTTGTTTTTGATTGTTCATTAAAATGAAAAGAGTGTAGATTTCAAATTTTAGTTCAAACAAATGGCCATAAGATGGTTTTTTAAGGTTGTTGCATCATATTACTATACAACAACTACTCATTGAAATAATATTTTTTTATATAGTGTGCCTTACTTTGATTGTTTAGAGCCTCGACCTTATACAAACCACATCCTTTTTAAACTTCCTAATAAGATATTTAAATATATAAACAATATATTTTATTAAAAATCGCTATTACATGATGAAAGCAAACAACTTTGCATTGACTAGTGGTGGCAATGGACCTAACTAGATTCGGGATCGACGGGTATATCCAACCTCGAGTCTGAGTCCAATAATTGGACCCAAATATTGTTCAAGTACGAGACCGGGCCCATACCCATAGTCATAAAATATATGACGCCAATCATGTGTCAGCGCTACGTGTTTATAGTGTCGCAATATTAACAACATTCATTTATTATTGGCAAAAAAAAAAAAACTCATAGCTATAGGGTACATGATAGTGAAAAAAAAAAAAGCTTATAATCATAAGGTGGTAATGTATCTTATCAGATTAAAGAAGCACAGGTAGACCTGGGACCTGTTGGGTCCGGGTATGGGTCCGGCCAAACCCGACCCATTGTCACCCCTAACTTTGACATGCTGACCTTTTTATTTGTTTTCAATCCTGTGTAACGTTTAAAATTTGGACTTGGGAGTAAAGGCAGACGTACATGGCGGCGGTCGAGAAAGCTTATAGAGAGAGAATTAGAGATATAAAGCTTTATAGAGAGAGAATTAGAGATATTAAAGCTGAGAGAGAATTAGAGATATTAAAGCTTTCTTAGATAGAGAGCAAGGGTAGCTATTACGAGTTATTTTACTGTAAAAGGTCAGCAGTAAAGTGAATTAATTACCTACCTACTAAAAAATCAACGAAAATGTTGAGTCGGACCAGTTATTTTTTATACTAAAAGGTCACAATCATTATCCAATAAAATTGGGTGGTTAAAAGCGAGTCATTTTTTAAGCAAAGAGTCCATACTAAGATTTCTCAAATGTTATGACATATTTTGATGTTTTAGATTTTATATTTAATGGCTAAAAAAAATTATGACCTCTTCATACCACAAATAAAATCTTATAGTATACAATCCCAAGATAAATTGTCAAATTTGGACGAGTTTCGATGTACAGGATTTAGGACAGTATGCAAGGTGTCAATTTTTATACCAGGCGTACCTCAAAAACTTCACAGTTTTGAAGTTTGAAAACTTTCAATTAATTATTTTAATATGAAAGTAAATGAATATAAAAAAGCAATCAGATTTCAATTCTTAAAAATAAAAATTATTAGGTGTTTTTAGATTTACCAATCTGTGTAATTTTTGGAGTTCTAAGTTTTATCATTTGTGGTGGAAATAATTTTTTATATCATCAAAAAATTTTCGACACCAGAATTGCATCTTCTAACAGAGTTTAGTGGTGCATCTTGCTTTGATTGTTAGGTACCCCTTTTGTAAACCTCACCCTTGGATTTAACTAGCCAAAAAATATCGCAAGGTTTTGGAGAATCCTCGGACATATTTGTTCTAGTGAGTCCACTTTCAAAATCATAGATTTGAAATTGAAAACTTGAGTTAAGACATTATTAAAAATATATATGTAGAAGTAAAAAAGGTCTAACTATTTATTTTAAGGATGTGGTTTGTATACTGGATCAACTTTGAACACTCCAAGTAAGGTGCGCCTCTAAATTATGGTAAAAGATATAGGTTTTTTAGTGGCAAAAAACTGTGATAGCCTCAAAAATTATTTTTGTCATTTATTGTAAAATTTAAAGCTTTAAAAATAATGCAGATCAAGTAGAATTATAAATGCATGAAAACCTTGAAAATGATCGGTCCAAATAATGTGTTACAATATACATTATTTTTAAAACTTGAAATCAATTTATTTTTCCATGTTTTTATATCTCAAGATCAAGAAGATCGATTGAAAGGATTTACAATGCCAGAACAAACATTCCATTTTGGTGGGTTTTTGAGGCGTGTCTTATTTCTATCGACATCTTATATAAACTTTTTTCTTATTTTAATTCTTCGAACATTATATGATCTAAAGTATTTTGGAGCGTGGACAACGTGTTTTGGGTCCTAAAATCCTTGAAAACAAGAGTGGATGCATGAACCCGTAGGCTCACAAAAATTTTTCACCAAAAATATTATTTATGATTTTTTGTTTTTTATTTATGTTGCTGCACCGTCTAGATGTTTGCAACATTTTTGGAAAAAATAATTATAAGATTTATCACGGGGGTTGGTAGGGTGGGGGGGGGGGGGGGGTTCGAATTCTAGGTAGCGCTCACGGGGGTATTGGGTCGGTCACTTATTGAAATAAATTGTCCATCTATGTAATTTTGAATAAAAAATTGGAATAAATTGCCACCTATTAAAAATTTCAATAAATTTTTTTTGCATAAAATGCCAAAAAAGCCAAAGCACTGATTTAGTCTTTCTTAGAAAACATAGTTGCCACCCTAATAGGCATATTGTTATTTCAATTACAAACTTTCGATATTTAAACTTTGTAATTTATGGTATTAAAAAAAAATACAAAAATAAGAGGGCAAGGTCCCCTATCTTTGTAAGTCATTATTTAATGGAAGAAATTTTTATACGGTTACAACTTGCACCTCAAAAATCCTTCAGAGGAGAGTGTTTCGACGTTGAAGAACCCTCCAAGTGATTATCTTGACATTGAGAAGAATGAACTTGAAGAAAAAAAAAGAATTCAAAGTTTAAAAAATAGTCTATCTTGTAACAAGTTA